TGTACCTACGCAGGATTCAGGCTGGTAATTATATCTTCCAGGAAAAAAGATTCAGTAATGGCCGTCATATCCGGCCAAACTACAGCTATTCAGTCTATTGCAGTATCCCCACTACACTCCTCTCTCCACCCTCCTTTGAGATGGTTTGGACACTTTTGAGGGAAGCAGAGATGAGAGGGACATTAAACGGCTGTTCAGATTGTACAACTAGCAGAGATCAGTTCAATGCTGAATGTAGCTTTCCTGTCCTTTTATAAATGAAGAAAATTCTACAAAGAATTCTTGGAGTAAAAAAAGGTGAAAAATTAGGAGTGAGATTGTCCAAGGAATCTCAAGAAATGGGTACCCAATTCCCTTGGCTCCTTTAGATATCCCAGCCTAGAACATACAAGAGCACAAGAAAATTTTCATAAGAAAACACTGCACTACAGCCTTTCATTTCCTCAGCTAACATCCACCCTCACCAAAAAAAGAGGGCAGCATGCAATTAGAAGCAACCTTTACATAACACACAATTGCAGTAGATATGCATATACTAAATACAGGTAAGCACATATTTGGTGTGTTTCAAAGAGTAATTATTAAATGCTATAAAAATGCAGAACTCAAATGATGGTCCATCTTCACAGCAAGCCCATTATTTTGAAATATAACAGGCTCGCTATTCCAACATCCCTGTAAGCCTCTTTCCACGAGAAGGGACATTTCAGAAAAGCGGGTTATTTCAAAATTTGGCACTGATTTACAAAATAAGCTATTCCAAAATAAGATTGAAATAAGATACACAATTCGCGTAGCTCAAATTACATATCTTATTTCGAGCTATGATGCAGCTTAGACGCACCCTAGGTGGGCTTTTCACTCCAACATCGGTGCATCATGTAAACATGGTATTTTAAAGGAAGCATGAAAATGTAAATCTACTTTTATTCTCTTTAAATAGAAAACGTACAATCAGGCAACTGACCTTGAGTATTTAAAAGTTATATATCAATTATCAGAAGCAATCATGCAGGAAGGTCAAACAACCAATGTCACCCTTTAAACCAGGGGTAAGGAACCTCTTTTCAGTCAAGGGCCAATGACCCACAGAAAAATCAGTCAGGCCACACAAGTGAGAAGGGGAAAAAAGCCACACTCACTGACATGGCCCTGAGGAGAAAGACACTCCCCATATTCCCCTTGTACACCAGAGCCTTGGGGGGCCCAGCTTAGATTTTGGGTGCTTCTGTCCCGCAGTTGGGCAGCAAGGAGGCTGGAGTGCTAGTGCAGGCACCCCAATGCTAGGGGAGAATCCCTGAGTCTCAGGGGCCGGATCCAGACAAGCCAGGGGTCGCATCCAGCCTCCAGGCCTAAGGTTCCCCACACCTGTTTTAAACTCTAGTTGTAGCTAAGGAAAGAAACTTGACTGCTTTGGTTTAAGTTTTCAGCCAAAGAGTAGGTTCACCCAGGGATTTTAACACAAATTTCACTTGAATTACTTTGTTCATTATGCCACATGAAATTCATAGATTATGTGATAAACTTCTATTGGTCAAAACCAGAGAATGAACACTACACCTTGAGAAAACTTTTATGGATGCACTCGTATGCATTAGTGAAGCATGTTTGACCAGACTGTGATTGTGAACATGTCTTTCCACCAAAATACTGTTTACTTTCTCCACCATGCACATAAGAGAGCATTAGTATCGTTGAAGTGGGTTTAAAAAACCCCAGAAAAGTGTAAGCAGATAATTGGGGTTTGGAAAACCTATTAAGTATTAGGAACAAAAACTCCTCAAGTTTCCAGACTTCAGTAGGAGTTAGGCTCTTCAGTACACCCAATATCAGGCCTGTGTGCAGCAAAGCTCTGTCTACGCTGGCGTGATCTCGTGAAAAAGCAGCCGTTCTTGCACAAAAACTTGCTGCCTGTCTACACTGGCCGCGTGTTCTTGTGCAAGTAAATTGACGTTCTAATGTATAAAATCAGGGCTTCTTGCATGAGAACTCTGACGCTCCTGCTCAGGAATAAGCCCTCTTGTGCAAGAGCTCTTCCAGAGGATGCCAGTGTAGACAGGCAACATGAATTTCTTGCGCAAGAAAGCCCTACGGTTAAAATGGCCATCAGAGCTTCTTGCACAGGAGAGCATCTACACTGGCATGGATGCTCTTGCACAAAAGCACATGCCAGTGTAGACGC